AATAAAAAGATGTAAAACAATTAATAAAATATAATGCCCATTTGGTGTATGACTTTTTGTCCTTGACTGCTAGTTTGGTTTTGGAAGGACAGGTAACTAACGGGGCAAGGAATGCGCGTGCCTGAAAGCTTTTGCACACACCGAAACGCTAGTTCAGTTAGGTTTATAGAGACAAGGCTCAGATTAGGACTAGAAGAAATTTGTTTGTAGACATTAGGGGTTCTGTTTATAGTTGTTACTATAGGTTGCAGTCTTGTTGTGACAAAAAGTCTACACTAAAACATGCTTTAGTTTATATTGTGTAGTTCAAGGATAAAAAATGCAGCTTCGAGGTGGATATTAGAGAGCTGGCGAAAGATTATGGCCTTTGTATCAATGGTTATAATAAACAAGTTTACAATAAATCAATTTGATATTTAAAGGAATCCTAATTCAATGTGTAGTATGGTTGTCACTCTTTAAATAGATTAGATTATTTGGGGGAAAAAGTGTTGTTACTAAGGATTGCAGTCTTATTGTGATAGATACTTTACACTATATTATATGCTTAAATTTATGTTGTGTAAATCAAGATAATAAAATGCCACTTGAAGTCTAATATACTATCTATTGGTGGGCTGGCGAAAAATTATGGGTTTTGCATTAATGGTTATAATAGTTTATAAATATTCTAAACCTTACAGTGCTAATTAAAAATTTCATTTTTGTCCACTAATGTCCCTAATGTTTCATTATCTCATTGAGTCCGTATAGGACACAGACATTAGCGGATGTGTAACCATAATTAATACTCTATAGCTTCTAACATCATGATTACAATTACAGGTTGTACGTTATGGCGGCTGCCAATATCCCAATAGAGTCACTTGTTGACAATCCATTAGATAATAAGCACTATCCTAACCGTCTATTCGAGGATCGCTCTGGGAAGTTTGACGAGTTCACCGGGGCGTTCGTTATCTATGGATTGAATCATGAAAAGAAGACCGAAAAGCAACATAGTGTCCACGACTATGTGTGTGATGCTATTTGGGATATGGGATTTGATGCCAAGCCTGACTTTTTTTCAACGGTATCTCGTCTATCCAATATGAAAAATGCTCCTCTTGTTTGCGAATTGAAAAAGATGCACATGAAACTTGGTAATGAAATTCTTGAATCCCTTGAGGATGTTAGCCGAATTCATCCTGAGCTTCTACTCTCTAATAAGGAGATTGTCATCGGAAAATTCCTTCCCCCTCCCCCTCAAATAATGATTAATTTTAATAAGAAGATATCCAGATCTGGGAATGCTAAGGCCTTGGTCATTGAAGCTGGAAAATCTCTTGGACTAGAAATCACTGAAGACAAAATTTCTTTTGCTGAAGTAACATATGAAAGATACGGCTCTGTTGTTTGCCAGTTTTCTGACATCAATATTGCTAAAAAGTTCTACAACTTCCGAGATGTGATACACCTCTTAAACAAATGTCCTATCTATGCAATTTCATTCTATCGTGAACACAAGGACTATTACTACGATAAAATGCTTCTTATCAGTGGTCTGAACACCAAACAGAAGGACTGCATGAAGTTGTTCCTGGACGTGTGCACTGATCTTGGAGTAGATGTTACAGAGAGTGATGTTTCCCGATGTGAGTGGCTGTACAGCAAAGCTTTTAAAAGCAGAGCTCAGCGTTCACCTTTAGTTGTGGAGTTCTCGTCAGAAGAAAAAAGAGTTAGTGTCTTTGAAGCATCAGCTAATGAGTCCAAGGTGAGGGATGATTTCCGTCTTGGGTCTAAGCCTAGGAAACCAAGACTGCCCAGGAAGCCACGTGCCAAGAAAGAGGGTGAAGAAGGAGAAGCAGAAGAACCTGCACCAGAAGAACCTGCCCCACTTGAAGTAGAAGAACCAGTAAATGGAGAGAAAGAGGACCCAGAAGTAGAGAGAGAGCAACCTGCCCTTGTGTATCGCAAGATTTATATCAACCCCTTCATAAGTTTACCATACAGTGTGCTTTACACCGCATGCAGAGAGTTGGCTCGCAGACGACGAAACCTGACTTGCTTGCCCATGTCTTTCTATGGACGCATCAACTTGCAGATTAAAGAGGTGGTAAAGAAGGAAGAGGAGGGTGATGCTGATGCTGATGCTGATGCCGAGGTTCCAGTTGAGGACGAAAACAAAGCCTCAGCTGTTGAGGATGAAAACAAGGCACCAGCTGTTGACGATCTTGCAGAGGCCCTGAAAACTCTGTCTCTGGACGGTAAAACAATCCCCATCAACTCTCCCTATGACCTCTGGAAAGTTGACAAGAAGTTCAGAAGTGCAGCTCTCGATAAATACTTCATGTACACAGACCCTTACTATGTTGACGTTGGTTACGTACTGGAACCCTACGAATGGTTCTCAAGCATCAGGAAGACTGAAAAGAGGCTAACCAGGGGTCAGATGGAGCGCATTCACCCGTTCTAGAGCTGACAAACTGAGAGCTGAGCTGTAACGAGACTAGGGCAGTAATCTGTCCAGTAGCTCCTTATTAACTTATTACAATCTTATCAGTGGTCTAGTGTGCGCGATGATCCGTTAAATAATACAGTGTATGGTATTTAGACTGGAAAAGTTTTTAGTTATATAATAACGTTGTGCATGGTCTTCATATAACAGAGTGTGTTTGGAAAGTTTCAAAATTCAGCTCTGGATAGTTCCACAATATATTTAATTTGTTGAAATATGCTTGCGTGACCTGTGAAAAACCTATACCTGAGCAATCATTGAAAACGGCACATTTTCAAGATTACGGTACATTTAATTGGTTAAAGTTTAAAATTTGGGTTATTTATCGCTTTTTTACTAGTAAATATTATTAAGTAAATTTTGTTACATTTCAATGCGTTGACGATAATCGTATTCGAAAAGGGTATCCGTGGCACGATGCTCTTTTCGAGTTTGATTTTTGTGAATTCTGATTTTAGATTTTCTAGACCTTTTGTACATCATTTTTGTGGTATGTTGCGACTTGCAATATGAAATCAGTTTAACTGGTTGAAATGTATCTCTAGATGTCGGGAGTATGAAAAGTTTACTGATAGTAAATCTAGATTCTTATCGTGAGAAAGTATTTGAGCCTAGGTTTATTGAATTAATATTATTGGTTCCAAATATTTTATCGTTACAGCAAACGCTTGTTGACCTTTAAGGGGGGGGGCCAATGGATATTTTTTTGTGAAACTTGATTTCGAGATAGCAGTTGACCAACAAACTAGGACCAGTGACCGAACTTTTGAGGGGGTCCCGGACCCTAACCGCCAAACGGTGCCTGCGGGGCAGCCACGCCCATATTTGGTCCAAATTAGGCCCAATTTAGCCAAATACCCTGAACATGCCCAAAACCCAAATTTTAGGTGCTCTACTTGTAGCTAGTGGTCTCCTGAACTCGTATATGAAATTTCATCAAGATTGGACAAAAAATGACTGAGTTATGAGCCAAAAACCATATGCCCATATTTGGGCATACGCACCAAATTTGGTAGATTTCGTCCCATAAATTGGTCAAATATCAATATTTTTCACTGAAACTTACTTTATATGAAAGGTAAGCCTAAACTACATATTCTCTGTAAGTTATAGCTTTATATCTGTTTAAATGTGGATACTAAGGCGAAAATACCACAAAAAATGAACTAAATTGCCCATATCTTGGTTCGCGATATTCGCGGAATTGATCTCATTAAAATTGTAACAACTCGATCAGTTTTCAAAATTTTTCCATGAAATTTTCGGAATCGACTCGAAATCGCATTTCCACCTTAGTTTGAGAACAGATTTTTGATTTAGGCCTCCAAAAAAATTTGGCGGCCAAATTCCAAAATTTTCCCGGAGAAATTCAGAATTTGGCCGCCAAATTTTTTTTGAGGCCTTAATCAAAAATCTGTTCTCAAACTAAGGTGGAAATGCGATTTCGAGTCGATTCCGAAAATTTCATGGAAAAATTTTGAAAACAGATTGAGTTGTTACAATTTTAATGAGATCAATTCCGCGAATATCGCGAACCAAGATATGGGCAATTTAGTTCATTTTTTGTGGTCTTTTCGCCTTAGTATCCACATTTAAACAGATATAAAGCTATAACTTACAGAGAATATGTAGTTTAGGCTTACCTTTCATATAAAGTAAGTTTCAGTGAAAAATATTGATATTTGACCAATTTATGGGACGAAATCTACCAAATTTGGTGCATATGCCCAAATATGGGCATATGGTTTTTGGCTCATAACTCAGTCATTTTTTGTCCAATCTTGATGAAATTTCATATACGACTTCAAGAGACCACTACCTACATGTAGAGCACCTAAAATTTGGGTTTTGGGCATGTTCAGAGTATTTGGCTAAATTGGGCCTAATTTGGACCAAATATGGGCGTGGCTGCCCCGCGGGCACCGTTTGGCGGTTGGGGTCCGGGACCCCCTCAAAAGTTCGGTCACTGGTCTTAGTTTGTTGGTCAACTGCTATCTCGAAATCAAGTTTCACAAAAAAATATCCATTGGCCCCCCCCCTTAAATGTATGTGATAAGCCTGGGCTCTCATAAAAGTATGATTATTCTACTCGATTTGAGTGAAGTACGTTGCATTAAAAGGTTAAGTTTATGTATTTAATTTTAAGTTCTCCAGCAACTTGATGACATATTAGTTTAAAATGTCGATATCATAACATCCTGATTCACTTTTAGTAACTTAGCAACTTTAACATTTAAGCGGTCTATAATTATTTTAAGCTCAATGTTCCAAATGCCCAATTATATCATAATATCGTATCGTATATAATTACTCTGCCGTTTCAATATATCTCTCTCAGTAGTTCTGAACAAGAAGTTAATGTCTTCAAAAGTCAACATGATAAATTGCATTGAAACTTTTTAAAATTAAATTTATCATTTCAATCTAAATTCTAAGTCTATCTTTAGTTCATATTGAGTATTGACTTCATAACAACCAGTAATACCTACTCCCACTCCTCAGGATGATTAACAGGGCTATAGGAGTGCTGCGTGGTAAGATTACCAATGCCATGGCCCACGCTCCCCCTCCCCCAAAACCCCACGCAGAAATGAACGTGGTTGAGATCGTTGAATACAACAAGATTCCCAGTGAGTTTACATTTTAATACCAGATTTTATTCAGTATGATTGTCTGTGAGTTTAAATTTAGTTCAATACTGTATTTATCTCTTTTAACATACTTAGATCTAGAATATTTTTGGAGAATTAAGTTTCAGTTCAACACCTATAATCATGTTGTATGCAGGGTTTCTAAATCAGGCTGGCAGCATTTTCCGTTTATATTATAGGAATTCTCTGCTTTTATGATTTATTGATTAGTCTAACGATTATTAGTTAATTAGTTAATCTATTCATTAATTACCCACCCCCAGGTATGATCTCGTATGATAGATGGTGGTTGTTTACCTGGTTTGTAATGGTACCAGTAACTATTGCTACCGGTATTAACGCCTGGATTGTCGAGAATGAGCATCTTTCTCATGGACCTCCTCCTTATATTCCTTATGATCATCTTATTCGGGTTAGTCATTTATTCAGTTTTTAAAAATTTAGTTTTAATACTTTCAGTTTTAATACTTTCAACACTACTATATAATAACAAATAATTTGAGGCTCTAATGATGTAGTTTTACGAGGATTTCAAGCCTTACATTTTGTGATTCCCTTCGTGTCCAAAAGCATTGTATCAGTTAATTTAGATGATACACTTTTAAGCTGTTGGTTGTTTTGCGTTCCTTAAGAATTAGCTAAATTATCTCTATAATCGTCCAATTTGTTGAGCAACTTTTTCGTTAAAATCTGTATGACTGTTAGATAATAATAATACGGTAATTATGTACTTATTGGCCTCGATACAGGAAGCAGATATCTTTAAGCTTTTAAAATGCATATCGAATGTTAATATGTCATATTCAAGATATCGGATACAGATTCACAGAACCGTACTTTTCAAATATTACACAGTTGACAGTACATCATAATATCCCATAATCACGTACATAAAAAAAATCCTAACCTCATCACCATAATACGCATCTATTGCATATTCTGATAACACATATAAATTAAAATTGAGGTGTAAACGTTTTAATATGTATTTGCACTAAAGTGAGTGCAATGTTTGTGACTAAAATTGTTTGTTATTGATTTCGGCCCAAATAATTACAATCAATTTACATTCCACCTCGTTTAATTGTCCTCTAACAGTCAACGACAAGGCTAACCCACTATTAAATAGTTACTTACTTATTTCTTAATAACTTGATAATTAATTTCTAACTCCAAGATAATTAACTAATTTCCTCAGACGAGGCCATACCCCTGGAAGGACGGTAAACGCTCTCTCTTCCACCACGAACAATACAACCCCATTCCTGGCGAGGGTTACTCCTGGCAGAAGAACGAAGAGGACGATGAGTGAAATTTTCCAACATTTTTGGAATGCTTGTCATTTTTTCGTCGCTTAAAAAAAGCTTGTCAGACATTTTGTATTCTGAGGACTGATTAAGTAAATTTGTACATATTAGTGGGCGCCTGGGTATTTCTGATCATTTGGTCGTGGTGTTATGGGCTCGATTTTATGGCTAACTTCTCATATATTCGATTTTATTACCGATTCCCGTTGGTAAGACTAAAAATATAATTTGTGCCAGTTAAATTATTTACTACTTGCAATCCCATACCTTGATTTATTGAGAGAACATTGTTAGGTTACTTTTCGTTAAGTTTCAGAAAACTAGTCGAAATTTATTTTCAACTGTATTATTCTACTCGGTTTACTATGGATTCAGTTCAATCATATACTAATAACCATCAATACTATAATTACTTGATCACAATTTCTGTTGTGACCGAAGTTTTCAAGAGCACGATTTCATTTAACATTTTCTTACATAATTTTATCCTCGTAGAGTTTATGATGTATGTTTCGGTCGGGTGATACTAGTCTTCAAAATGGGATGGCACAAGATGGCATCCAGGTCCTCCCAAGGAATGCGATAAAACGACGGCCTTCTGATCGTAAGTTATTTCACCTGTAGAGACATGATATGGCGGCGTTTTTACCTTCGTTTGGGACATTTTTGCAAGTACGCCCATCGACTAGCAGGGAATTTCCGCTGTCTGCATATAAAATTTCCTGACGGTAGCAGCGTTGCTGCGCGCGACGGACTCTATCATGCGCGCCAAGCCTGTCTTGAATTATTCAGAACAATTTCGGGGCATCTGCACCACAGTGAGCCCTAGCATTGCATGTATTATGTATAATATATTGTTGAAATTCAAAATAAATGTTGTCTTTTTTCGGAGATTCTCGAATTTTCCTACCATTGCAATAAAAAGTGGTGAAAATGTAGGCAATTGATTCTCCTCCAGGTTCAAGAAGTGGTTTCTTCACAGTGACTTAGATGCTAACTACTTGAATACTGGCAAAAGGGGGTGCACTGTGCATGTACAGACTTACGGCTAACTATGACGCTAAAATTATAACCCTGGTTGAGGTGGTTGACTGTCAGTGTACAATACATTTGGTCAAATTAATCGTTTATCCTTGTTAATGTTTCAACTCAGATCTGGAAACTGGAGATTGTTGTGACCATTAAAAGTCCAGATTAGTGCCCGAAAGGAATAAGCTTTAAAGACCTGGAATCTATGAAGAAAATCTGGGCCTTTAGGACTGAAAACTTGACATAGTGCATATTGGGAACATGGCCAAATTATGAGCTATTGCGGAGATTGCCAAAACTTTCCCAGATACAGTTCTAACGAAACCCTTAAATGGTGTTGATTATCATAACTTGCAACTTCTTACTGTTTAATATTCTAGATCTTTCTTCCTCACAAATCACATACGTCGAAGTAAATTGTTATGTTTGTCCAATAAATCTCTATCCTCAGCGGGGAGTGATGATGACGGCTGGCGTAAAGCTTGGCAAATCAAGTTTAAATACGGGAAATCCAACAATTTGTCAGTGTGGCTGATTGATAGACTGACCCGATCAGATGGCGGAAGGTGGATAAGCATGGTAGGTACGTTTCTCTTGTTACATTTTCTCGTTTAACTCTATCGCTGGTAACTTAGTAATCTTGTCTGTCAACATGTTCTTTTGTAGGGATTAATTCTGGGGAATTTGTAACGCACGTACACTCTGGTCCCTTATTTAAGCTTTATTGTTATTAGTGTTAGCAGGATAGTATTTTGTTATTTCATCACAAAGATCCGAGATCTTTAAATTTTATTTGAACGAAAGCAGACTTTAGTTGTCATTTTGTCAGGGAGTCGGAAGATTAGAGTTTTTATTTTCTCAGGAAGAAGGAAGATTTGAGCTTGAGTGGATCGACACGGCTAATGCCTGGTATGCAGAACGTCAGCGGAGGAGCAAGTCGAGTCAGTCTACTCACCTCCTTTACAAAGCTATACAGGTAAGATCCACTGCACAATCAGTTAATATGCTATTTATAGTCAGGGTGACACGTGACTGCTGTTAACGAATTCGATACTAGAGCGTTGCTGCAAACTCATTGGTAAATGAAGTAACAACTGTCACAACAAAGGTCAAGGGGAATGTATCCCTTCAGCACGAAAGCTATTGATTAATCTACACTGAATCAGTACACTTAAATATAAATCCAGCTATCTAGTTAGCTTAATCTGTAGTTTATTAGAGCCGTATACAAGATTTGAGTTAATTAAAGGATTGAAACAATACATTTACGTAATTTAGCTTCATGCTACGTCAGGCAATCTGTAACTTCTGTAAATACTCCACGTTGTCTAGCTTTGTTTTAATAGCTCACCATAAATTCACATAAAATACTCCTTCATAATAATATAATACTCCTCCGGCCGTGTGCTTTTTTCTTCTTGAGAAACGAGATACGATGCTTTAGGACGCTTCTTGAAAACACGCGTAAATCTGTGTAGAATGCGTGTATTGATCGTGATTTGCCGCTTTACTAACAAGATATTCTGTTTTTAGTAGTAAAAACATGCATGAATATAGCGCACCAGTGTAGAAGATAGCCTTCTCGAAATGTGCGATTGCTGAGTCACTTGATAACAAGCACGCCACCACGTGACCCGCTCACGTGACGCCGTGTTCGCGGAGATTACATGCTCGTAAACACAACACGAGCTGATTGCACCTCCTCTGCTTTAGTGGCGTCTTATTGTGGCGTGTGTAACTTGTTATTTAGTAGTGTAGTTATTAAGTAGTGCAATTAATTACTAATTTGCTGATTAAATTGCTGAAACTTTAGTGGACTAATTATGTGCTTTTTGTCTTTTTAAATTTATAAAATATCTTGCTAAGTAAAAATGAACGGTAGTTTGCAAGAGTGTTAAAAGAATGTTCGGTAGGAGATGATATATAATTCATCTAATATTTTTCATGATATCATACTTTTAGTTCCGACAGTGATTATCTAAAAGTAGTAACTTATCACCGAATTTACTTCAAATATCCCTGTATCTCAGTGTTCTAGTGTATGTCGTATTGTGACCTCAACATAAAGAATTGGTTAGTCGAAAACAAACCCACAATCTACAATGAGTCGATCAGGCGTATCATATCTCTGCTGCTGGATCGCATTATCCGCGATGTTATGCACGAGCACCGTGGTCGCAGACCAGGACTGCACGGCTAGATGCGCGTGGAATGAGTGGCAAGACTACACACAGTGCTCACAACAGTGTGGCCCACGAGGGCTGCAGGTTCAGATCAGAGACGGAGTGGACCCCAAACCCACGGACCCTAACGAGGTTGTGTGCAGTTGCTCGGAGGAGGAGTCCTTTAGAGAGAAGGCTTGTAACCGAGTGTGTTTGAACGGGGGTGCGGTGGAAGAGGTAGATGGAGATTTGATCTGCGTGTGCAGTACTGGCTTTCACGGAGAGTGCTGCGAACATGGCCACGATCTAACAGTGTTCGTTGTCGTCTACGTGGTCATCATCCTGCTCTGCTTTGTGTTTGTGTGCTCTATGTTCTGTGTGGGCGAGTACCGACACAAACATGTCCTTCAAGCCATCCCTACTACCTACGAAACAGAATTTGATGATTGGGAAGAGGAGAAACCTCTTCTGGAACCGAAGTTTGTTTGGACCGCCCCCCATGATACTAAGAAAATGGGACTCTTCTACAAATCCTGGGATACTTACAGTGAGTATTCCTCTCGTGCTGGATCTGTGATGAGCGTCGGAAGTTTCTCCTTTGAAATGGATGATGAATCTGGAGAGAAAACCTTCAAGGGTCACGATGCTGTGATGGAAAGATTGGATATCTTCGAGATTGCCATGCTCCGAAACTTTGGTGATTTGGACCGTGAAACCAGGATGACTCTGGTGCAAAAGATTGCACCCAGGATCGACTTTGAAGAGCAGATCAAACTAAGATCATTCGACTCCCTTTCCGAGGAGGAAGGCATGGAGATGATGAGTAGACTGATGAGCCTGGCGGACACGGCAGATATGATTAAGGAACAGGAACGGAAGGAGCTGAAGGAACTTGAGGAGCACCCTACATTCGATGATATTGACAGTGATATCGTAGAGATGATGGGACGGTTTGACGAGTTGACGGAGGAGGAGAGGGAGCGTGTGATTGAGCAACTGGAGGATATCCTGTCTGAGAAGGACAAGATAAAACTTAGGAACTTCGACCAGCTGTCCTCTCGGGAGCAGGATTCTCTGTTGGCTAGATTGGGCAAGTTGCAGGAAGTCGCCAAGAAGGTTGAGGCAAAGAAACTTGCTGAGGCGCCCGATGATGATGGTAAAATCGAGCTCACCACTTCCATGGTTACTGAAGGCATGATCACGGTTGCAAGCTTGAGGACTGCTATAAAGTCGGACGCAATGAGAGATATTTTGAAAATGGTAGGAATGTCGATCGGTGGTTTGTCCCATAGACCAGATGCCAGGCTAGAGATAAGAGCCAGAGTTTTGGCAAAGCTGTTGTTGTTGTCGGAGGAAGAAGTCACTCAGCTGTGTCTGCGAGACGGAATTACTCAGGAGAAGTTGGACGAGATGTCGCACGTGGAGAGGATCGCGCACATAGCGGATCGCGCAGCGGCGGCCTGTGTGGCTGATGTAGCCTTGGTGGAGACAGAGAAAAAAGAAGAGGAGGCCCGGATTGCGGAGGAACAACGTCGGCTGAGGGAATTGGGAGAAACCAGCACCATCTCATCCATGTCTGGCGTCATGTCAATGTCCTCATCTGATGATGACGATGATAATGTAGGAAAACCTAGACGGGTGAAAAAAGTTGATCTGTCAAAGATCAAATGGTCTGGGCCACCTAAAGGAGCTAAACCAGGATTCAACAGAGGTATGCTGTCTCTTGGTGTCCTCTCAACCTCTGTCAAGAAGTTCAAGGAACGAGAAAGGACTGGCATCATCCAGGGAAGAGGCAACATCAGGTCCCAGGCCCTGTCTGAACGTCTTGTTAAATCTCTCTCCAATAGATCTGTAGAAGTTCCAGATCTCAATATAAAGCAGTCACTTAGACAGCGACTGAGTCATCAACCTGACGGAGGAGGGTTAGAGGAGGAGGAGGGTTACGATACCTCCTCTATGTCTGAACAATAACACTCGTCGACTGAAGTTTGATTTAAGTTTCGCTCATGTTTTGTATTGGAATATTAAGACTCAAGACTTATTACTACTGTGTAAATATCAGAAGTCAAGAGTTACGAACCCACCCAAGTCTAGACTCTTAGAACCTCATTAGTTTTTGAGAGAACGTCAGATTCTAATATTGTTTCAGTTATAATTTGATAATTTGATATCGTGTACTCAACAGAAACCCATTCTAAGTTTCGAAGTTTTTAGAAGAACCGAGTTTTATTTATTTTAACTTTGAGGAACATTTGATATCAACAATCATGTCTAAAATAGTAAATACCTTTTAATTGTATAAATTTGTATCCTAATAACCGTACATGATGTAGTTTTACAAAGACTTGAAAATTATTAAAGTTAATTTGTCGCTGGGAGACTAGATATGTGATCGGTATCTGTAACAATTAATTTTAATAATCTAGATCATTCTCAGGCAGCGTTCCCAAACATAGCAGAGGAATCGAGCGAGAAAAACAAGCATATTTTCGTGAGAAGGTCCTTCAAGCTTCCTGATGAGCTATGTGATGAGGTCAGACAAATCGTTATAGGAACCGGAACAAAACGACCACAGACTAAAACTATACAGATTCCTGGGGCTTCTGGAGGCATCCATAATCCACGTTAGTTTCATTCAGTTATCATTCAATGTATTGCCTCTCTTTATACTATATTATCGTATGTAGCTTCGGTTTATCAACATTATAAACCTTCCGTCAAAGTTCCCCCCTTTTGATGTTTTCTAAGAAACTGGTAATCTTCACTAACCCTCCCAACCCCCCCCCCCCCCCTCTTCACTAACCCTCCCAACAGACATGCCACCTTCACTAACCCTCCCAACAGACATGCCACCTTCACTAACCCTCCCAACAGACATGCCACCTTCACTAACCCTCCCAACCCCTCCCAACAGACATGCCACCTTCACTAACCCTCCCAACCCCTCCCAACAGACATGCCACCTTCACTAACCCTCCCAACAGACATGCCACCTTCACTCACCCTCCCAACAGACATGCCACCTTCACTAACCCTCCCAACCCCTCCCAACAGACATGCCACCTTCATTAACCCTCCCAACAGACATGCCACCTTCACTAACCCTCCCAACCCCTCCCAACAGACATGCCACCTTCACTAACCCTCCCAACAGACATGCCACCTTCACTAACCCTCCCAACAGACATGCCACCTTCACTAACCCTCCCAACCCCTCCCAACAGACATGCCACCTTCACTAACCCTCCCAACCCCTCCCAACAGACATGCCACCTTCACTAACCCTCCCAACAGACATGCCACCTTCACTAACCCTCCCAACAGACATGCCACCTTCACTAACCCTCCCAACCCCTCCCAACAGACATGCCACCTTCACCTACCCTCCCAACAGACATGCCACCTTCACTAACCCTCCCAACAGACATGCCACCTTCACTAACCCTCCCAACAGACATGCCACCTTCACTAACCCTCCCAACCCCTCCCAACAGACATGCCACCTTCACTAACCCTCCCAACAGACATGCCACCTTCACTAACCCTCCCAACAGACATGCCACCTTCACTAACCCTCCCAACCCCTCCCAACAGACATGCCACCTTCACTAACCCTCCCAACCCCTCCCAACAGACATGCCACCTTCACTAACCCTCCCAACCCCTCCCAACAGACATGCCACCTTCACTAACCCTCCCAACCCCTCCCAACAAACATGCCACCTTCACTAACCCTCCCAACAGACATGCCACCTTCACTAACCCTCCCAACCACCCCCCCCCCCTCACTAACCCTCCCAACAGACATGCCACCTTCACTAACCCTCCCAACAGACATGCCACCTTCACTAACCCTCCCAACAGACATGCCACCTTCACTAACCCTCCCAACCCCTCCCAAACAGACATGGCCACCCTTCACTAACCCTCCCAACCCCTCCCAACAGGACATGCCCCTTCACTAACCCTCCCAACAGGACATGCCACCTTCACTACCCGCCCAACAGACCATGCCATCCTTCACTAACCCTCCGCCAACAGACATTCCACCCTTCACTAACCCTCCCAACAGACATCCCACCTTCACTAACCCTTCCCCAACTGACATGCCACCTTCACTAACCCGTCCCTACAGACATGCCACCTTCACTAACCCTCCCAACAGACATGCCACCTTCACTAAACCCTCCCAACACCTCCCAACAGACAATGCCACCTTCACTAACCCCTCCCAACCCCTCCCAACAGACATGCCACCTTTCACTAACCCTCCAAACAGACATGCCCACCCTTCACTAACCCTCCCAACAGACATGCCACCTTCACTAACCCTCCCAACCCCTCCCAACAGACATGCCACCTTCCCTAACCCTCCCAACAGACATGCCACCTTCACTAACCCTCCCAACAGACATGCCACCTTCACTAACCCTCCCAACAGACATGCCACCTTCACTAACCCTCCCAACCCCTCCCAACAGACATGCCACCTTCACTAACCCTCCCAACAGACATGCCACCTTCACTAACCCTCCCAACAGACATGCCACCTTCACTAACCCTCCCAACAGACATGCCACCTTCACTAACCCTCCCAACCCCTCCCAACAGACATGCCACCTTCACCAACCCTCCCAACAGACATGCCACCTTCACTAACCCTCCCAACAGACATGCCACCTTCACTAACCCTCCCAACAGACATGCCACCTTCACTAACCCTCCCAACCCCTCCCAACAGACATGCCACCTTCACTAACCCTCCCAACCCCTCCCAACAGACATGCCACCTTCACTAACCCTCCCAACAGACATGCCACCTTCACTAACCCTCCCAACAGACATGCCACCTTCACTAACCCTCCCAACAGACACTAACCCTCCTAACCCCTCCCAACAGACACTAACCCTCTCAACCCCTCCCAACAGACATGCCACCTTTTCCTCTGGTGGACTCCGCTTCAGTTCTCCTCCCCAAAGCACAATACAAAGTCCCGGACACCCTGATGAAGGACTTCATGTCAGCTGTCAGCTCCACCAGCATTATGAACCCTGAGAACCCAGCTGGACCTCCTATAACTCAATGTGAGCTGCTCTATAGACCAGATAGCTGGCAGGCGGGTTGTCATGATAGTATGTAATTGTAGTAATTCAAGTGGTAGTATGTAATTGTAGTAATTCAAGTGGTAATTGTTATGATTGAAGTGATTAAAATCTCGATTGACCGTGCTAATTTCCTTCCTCCAAACTGAGCGTTAAATCAGGGCTTTACAGTAGTCGTTGTAAATGTGTTTCAACTTTTGTCTTAGTCGCTCAGCTGATTGCGTCACTTCTGAAGTGTAAATAAGTTGGCATACTGTAGGAACTGATTCACGCCATTAACAATTAAACACGTGACTACAACACGTGCTGTATAACACGTGACTACAACACGTGCTGTAGAACACGTGACTACAACACGTGCTGTAGAACACGTGACTATAACAGGTGCTGTAGAACACGTGCTGTTGATCACGTGACTATAACACGTGCTGTAGAACACGTGACTATAACACGTGCTGTTGATCACGTGACTACAACACGTGCTGTAGAACACGTGACTTTAACAGTCTCCATTTTCCCTCAGTAACCTCCTCCTGGAACATGGATATACCCACAGAGCGGATATCACACATTCCTGAGATCACACCTGGGTCTTCTCCTAAACATGATCCACACGAACCCGGGCATTCTGATCACAAGGTAACTGGTTGCTAGGTTACTGGTTACAAGGTAACTGGTTGCTAGGTGATTTGGTCTCTAGGTGATGGGTCAAACTAACTTGGAAATAATGGCTTATGCTGGGAGGAGGTGTACAAATGTTCAATATGAAAACCAGTTTTATTTTGATAAAATACCCCGCCTGTTAGTCTTATTCAATTAATGTTGCTACATTTGATAGTAAAATTATTGTAATTTGAAGCGAAAGGAATGTACTTACTTACTAGAGATAATAAACTCTTCCCCCAGATAAGGAGCCCACCAATGTCCCCTGGTTTTCTAAAAGACGTCACATATCAGGCTAACTGCCACGAGGCAACATTCGAACAGATCTGTGAGTACGCTAAACAGCAGGTGAGGATAATCATCAATTAGAACATATTAGCAATCAATTAGTTTCTATTAGCAATCAATTAGTACGTATCAGCAATCAATTAGTACACAATATCAGCAATCAATTAGTACATATTATTAGCAATTATGTAATACCTTTTAACAATCAATTAGTACCTATTGGTGGGTATTACTTATTAGTAATTAAAAGTTTACCCGCTGTACTTATATTATTAGCAGTAATTAATGCTGATGATTCAAAATACTTGGAAAATTCACCCTTTCTGCTTCCATTTATACTATAGTCAACTTATTTATAGTGGATAGTAACTGATCAATCAATAAGTTAATTAGTTAATTAATTAATCGTATGTCAGCTGGAGATAATCCACAAGTGGGCGAGTGAGATGCCGTCTTTCAAGCACCTCTCCTGTAACGACCAGAAAGCGCTCTTAACTTCCAGTGCTCCTGAAATCCTTGTATTTTCTATTTGCTGTTTTTCTGTTCAGAACAAATGTGGTGAGTCTGCTGGTGAAATTTAAAATAACTTTTTTTATAGCAAACTTTTAGAAATCCACGTGAGAGTCATTTCTCAGAACCCCTCATAAATCCTAAGTGCAGGAAAACTGCTGCTTAACATTCAACAATTCTGATTCCCTTGACCATCTAACTAATCATCAAATACTCACCTAACTAACGCCCCCTTATGACGTCACGTGAGAGAGAGTGACGTCACAAATACTCACCTAACTAACGCCCCCTTATGACAGGACCGGATAACTTACTACTGGACAAAGACCTGGTAATATCCCGGACTAACCGGCAGTTCGAGGTAGCTATTAGGAACATTGTCTCCTTCATCATCGACACCATAGTGGACCCGCTCAAGGATGTGAAAACTGATCGGTATGAGTTAAGCCGGCTCAGACGAATCATTCTTTTTAATACAAGTATAAGAATTTCGTTATAATTTGGGTATTTTCATAGTTTTTAATTTCTTTCTGTTTGCAAAACTGCCTTAATTTCCGTTTCCAAGGATGTAAAATATTTTTACCAACACTTTAAAAGTTATCAATAGCAAATTTTCAGCTACAAAATCGACACATCAGAATCTAAAAGATCCGGAGGAGGTTAGAAAGTTACGACGAACTGAGCACGTGCTTTTACAGAAATACACGGACAATACACAGGGCAGGTTAGTAGTGAGAGTCACGTGAGGGATAGTTTGACGTCACATGAGAGAGTGTGACGTCACGTGAGGGAGAGTGTGACGTTACTTTACGGAAGATGATAACCTCATTTGTTGTAAATCAATAAATATAGTAAGCTATTCAAATATTGAACCATAATTAATCACAACCTCCTTTTATCCAATTATGCTATTTATCTGATAACATAATGACTCTAATTACACGACAATTCCAGGATAGGTGAGCTGCTACTCCTCCTCCCTCCCCTCACCACTGCTGGTACCCTCTTTGTAGAACACCTTCACTTGGAGAAATTAGTCGGGGACACTTTCGATAACCTCGTTGCTGCAGAACTCTTATTGGCCATGGGAAATGGGTAATTTGTTGTCACGTGATGCGTTTTATGACGTCACGTGTTGCGTTGTATAAACAGGATTAAACATAAATTAAACAGGATTAAACATAAATTTGTCAATGAGAGCCCTAACACTCACGTCTTGACTATACATCAATATAATAGAAATAAATAAATAAATAATGTGCAAGAGTTTTCTTAAAATAAAAATTTAAAAATCATAAAAATTTAACTTCGTATAACGTCACGTGACGTCATTTTGCGTACCAGGGATCTGCAATTGGCTGAATGATTTATAAATTACGGAACAAGAGGTTTCTGTTTTTCAAACTTACCCTTAAGATGTCCGGGATGTATTAAAATTTTGCAAGTCCTCTTTTATATACCCTTTTAATTAAAATCGTTAATTTCGTGATGTGTTGTGCGATTATTTTACCCCTGAAGATATTTGATTTTCCCAAAACTATCAGATTATCGTTTTTATTACGTAGAAAGATATGTTTGATATGTATTAATTATAAATACGTTAGTCCTAATTAGAAGTACGTACTACAGTGTAATAATAACGTCCTTTATAATAACCTGTGAGACTTGAGCTTTTTAATGTTTAAGTTCGTCAGTTACTTCCCAATTGATGTTTTATTTTCGAAAATGGTTTTGATTTATGTTTGTGCCTTCGGGTATGCACTTAAAATATGTCTTTAACTTTGTAAGGTTTCTACTGAATGGCAGCCACTTGAGACTTTTATACTTTTTATCGACTCTAGAGTCTAGATCTAACGGTTAGCTGTTTAATTTTACGAGGTGTTGTCGTACTTTAATTAGTTGTACGTGTTGAAGGTGAGTTCCTTGTGTTTATAGTTTTAAAGTGGAGATAGTTATGTTTTTAATCGAATATGTTAATGATACAAGAGATTTATTTTTATTCAGATCTAAAATCGTAGTCTTGTTTTGTCTAACTTTATTGTAAAGTCAACCTTGCATTTTGCAATAATTTAAAAATCAAACTACAGGGTGCTGGGTGGATTATACTTAACCACTTTTTAAAATCAAAAATCCGTTTTCAAAATAATGTGGAAATGCGATTTCAGGTCGATTCCGAAAATTTCATGCAAAAATTTTGAAAACTGATTGAGTTGTTACAATTTTAATGAGATCAATTCCGCGAACCAAGATACGGGCAATTTAATTTAGTTCATTTTTGTGTGTCTTTCTCGCCTTGGTATCCACATTTAAACAGATATAAAGCTATAACTTACAGAGAATATGTAGTTTTATTTAGGCTTAATAATAATAACTTTCATAAAAAGTAAGTCTCATTCAAAAATATTGATATTTGACCAATTTATGGGACGAAATCTACCAAATTTTGCGCGTATGCCCAAATATGGGCATATGGTTTTTGGCTCATAACTCAGTAATTTTTTGTCCAATCTTAATGAAATTTCAAATATTATTGACTATATTTTATGACGATGAATTGTAAATTTCGATCAATTTATATTCATTCGGTCTCCAATTATTGAACAGCGGAAGCTGGTTGCCTCAACCATCAACACTGTTGACTATATATACATAATAGTATGACTGAAAATTGTCAACCCGTGATTATTAAACGAAAAATAAATAATAAATTAAACATGATTTATAATTTAAAAACTGTAAACCACAAACTGAATTATCGCTTAAATTTAAATAAGTATAAAAACAAAAACCATCATGTGTCGTTAATGGTTAATTAAGCAGCAGGACGTGGCTCACTTGGGCCACAGCAAATCGGCGAAAATGGTTTCGGAAAATTAAGCCACTATTGGCACTTTGGTCCTTTCGATCTTTCCGGTGGTGCGCTGGGCCTTGATTCACGATGTCAATCCTTCGCAGCTCGACGAGGCCCAGTGGTGCACTGGTGCATCTCGCCGATCTACCGAGATGCGAGAAGAATTATTTGATGCGCGGCGCGGCCCAGTAGTGCATCGCGCTACAATTCAGAACCAGCAAGAGAATGAGTTAAAAAAGTCACGTGACAGTCGAGTGTAGAGTGATTAATCATCATCCAAAGAAGTGATGTGTGTTTCTGCAGAGCAGACCAAACTGGACCCACAAACCGCCCGCGCCCCAGTACCCTCCCACACTATCGCCCTGCATGGTGGCTGGCCAGCCATATTTCTACCCTGCATTTGAAATTCATAAGCTGAAGAAAGAAGAACTCATACCAGGGGCCAAACCACCAGCAAGACTCGTTACCGCCCTCCACGAATGAGCCAGCAGACGACAGGATGTCTTCCTAGCTGATAAATACCTACGTCAACTAGAAAGGGATTTTTGCGAGGACCTTCTTATGGATGATAGAGACGCCTTAGTCTGGCTCGACAACATCAACAATACCCTGGACACAGAACTCAAAAGCATGAACATTAAAGCATTCACATTTGATAACAAAGCTTATATGATTCATTGAGTCCCCACCTTACACTCTTTGAAGATGGAAGAAAAGAGACCAGAATGGTCCGCCAAATTCAAGGAGTGGTTGATAAGAAGTGTTGAACTCAGTTTTGAGTCGTCTATAGGCAAATTTAACGGAGAGTGGTACAGACAGAAACGAGGAGTACCGACAGGAGGCGGTATCTGTGTAAAACTTGCAAACATAGCAGTATACCATGTCATGCGCGAGCAAGTCTATTCAGACACGGAACTAATGGAACCTGTAAGATCGGTCAAGAGATACATAGACGACGGCTGTGGAGTATTCCATGGTACGAAAAGACGGTTTTCAAAATTCATCACGACTGTCAATTCAAGGCTAGCAGAACTTGGCCTCCACATTGATGAGAACATCATAGAAGATAACAATGTTTATGTGTCATTCCTAGACATCAAATTTTGTTTCGACACCGCAGGTGATCTTCAGACAGACCTCTATGTTAAAGAGACTGACGCTCGCTCCTACCTGTACTTCGGTTCCCACCACCCGAACCATACATTCAGCAGCATAGTCTATAGTGCATGTCTGAGACTCCGCCGAATCATCGATGATAACGACAGACTTCGAAAATAAATTAATGAATTGAAAACCTTTTTCTTTCAATCCAACTACCCTAAAACTATGGTAGATATAAATATCAGTGAAAAAGTCAAAGGTTTTGAAAGATGTCTCAAACCACTGGACAACTCAAACAGCAATGTCCTGGTCCCAAAGTCTCCAGAACCAGCAGTTCGCGTTATTTGAACATTTGGCAGCGACCAAGAGTTGGTAGAATCGGTACAAAGATTGGAACCAGAACTCAGTAGAACCAGGAGCTTCTCAGGATTATCTGGTTCCCATACAAGTGGAAACACCCCAGGCTCCCCAATATCATCTAGAGCCGGTACATCACGCCCTATCTTCAAATTCGTCAGATGTGTTTGTTTGTTTGTTTGTTTATAGAACCCGTCCCCAATCTCGTATTGGAAAATGACTAAACTCAGGTCTGAGTGTGAATACGGGTGGTACCTGCAAGAGTGTTCATTAAGCATTTAGAGTTCTGTAAAACTGCAGTTACAATTGTGCTAGAGTATTTTTAGTATATACGATTGGTATCAGAAATATATCCCTACATGCTTCCAAAATTTGTAAAGCCGTAGTACATACATATCACATTACACCAGAGCCTACACAGTGCAATCTCCTCCAGTCTATCTGCGCCGCGTATATTTGTATAAGCACACGGCGCAGACTGGAAAAAACCACACTCTGCAAGTTCAATCCAGTGCAATGCTACATGTACGTACTACGGCTTCATCTCCAACTTTCTGCACAATGTACTGGAATGTTTTGAAGGAAAAGAAAGAACAAAAAAGTGATATATATAAATAAAATCAGCGATTTAATGTTAGCCTTAGGACAGTAACTTTAATTCCCTGGTTTCTAAAATCAGCTTTTTAAAAAAAATAATAATAAAGTATGTAACGTCGATACCAAACCGATTATTGAGCGATAATAACTGAGTAGTTGATTCCTGGGTTGCAGAGTCATTCAGATGTTCCAGTCTTCGAATGTGGTTCTTGTTCAGTTCTTGACCAGAAGTGTCTAATGAAGTAAGTCAGACAAGCAAACCCTTCCTTAAATGCTCATATAAGTCGTCTCAATCCCAGAAATTATGAATGATGACCCAGTGTAAAAGTGCAGAAATCGGCCGAAAATAACAAAGACTAAAAACAGTTAAAAAGTGAAAGGATTCAAACACAAGGAAAATTAATAACTTAGAGCGTAATAAGGAATATCTCCAAGCGGAGTTTTCTGAGAGGGTGAGAGGTTCTTTAATTAGAGCTAATGATTAAATGAGACCCACTAAAGGTACTAAATTAACCGGACTGCTAGCAAGGAATCGAGAGTGGGAATAAAACTAAAAGCGGAATAAATTGTAAGATAATGAAACAGAAACTGAAAGCTAAAATATATACCGTTCTAGAATGCCTCCGCAAACTATTGCTCCTTTGTAATGTGCACGTGTTAGTAAGTGTAGTAAAAAGATAAAAATAATAAAGCTATACAAATGAACGGAGCGGTGAAAATCTGAGAGGGTGAGAGGTTCTTTAATTAGAGCTAATGATTAAATGAGACCCACTAAAGGTACTAAATTAACCGGACTGCTAGCAAGGAATCGAGAGTGGGAATAAAACTAAAAGCGGAATAAATTGTAAGATAATGAAACAGAAACTGAAAGCTAAAATATATACCGTTCTAGAATGCCTCCGCAAACTATTGCTCCTTTGTAATGTGCACGTGTTAGTAAGTGTAGTAAAAAGATAAAAATAATAAAGCTATACAAATGAACGGAGCGGTGAAAATCTGAGAGGGTGAGAGGTTCTTTAATTAGAGCTAATGATTAAATGAGACCCACTAAAGGTACTAAATTAACCGGACTGCTAGCAAGGAATCGAGAGTGGGAATAAAACTAAAAGCGGAATAAATTGTAAGATAATGAAACAGAAACTGAAAGCTAAAATATATACCGTTCTAGAATGCCTCCGCAAACTATTGCTCCTTTGTAATGTGCACGTGTTAGTAAGTGTAGTAAAAAGATAAAAATAATAAAGCTATACAAATGAACGGAGCGGTGAAAATCTGAGAGGGTGAGAGGTTCTTTAATTAGAGCTAATGATTAAATGAGACCCACTAAAGGTACTAAATTAACCGGACTGCTAGCAAGGAATCGAGAGTGGGAATAAAACTAAAAGCGGAATAAATTGTAAGATAATGAAACAGAAACTGAAAGCTAAAATATATACCGTTCTAGAATGCCTCCGCAAACTATTGCTCCTTTGTAATGTGCACGTGTTAGTAAGTGTAGTAAAAAGATAAAAATAATAAAGCTATACAAATGAACGGAGCGGTGAAAATCTGAGAGGGTGAGAGGTTCTTTAATTAGAGCTAATGATTAAATGAGACCCACTAAAGGTACTAAATTAACCGGACTGCTAGCAAGGAATCGAGAGTGGGAATAAAACTAAAAGCGGAATAAATTGTAAGATAATGAAACAGAAACTGAAAGCTAAAATATATACCGTTCTAGAATGCCTCCGCAAACTATTGCTCCTTTGTAATGTGCACGTGTTAGTAAGTGTAGTAAAAAGATAAAAATAATAAAGCTATACAAATGAACGGAGCGGTGAAAATCTGATAGGGTGAGAGGTTCTTTAATTAGAGCTAATGATTAAATGAGACCCACTAAAGGTACTAAATTAACCGGACTGCTAGCAAGGAATCGAGAGTGGGAATAAAACTAAAAGCGGAATAAATTGTAAGATAATGAAACAGAAACTGAAAGCTAAAATATATACCGTTCTAGAATGCCTCCGCAAACTATTGCTCCTTTGTAATGTGCACGTGTTAGTAAGTGTAGTAAAAAGATAAAAATAATAAAGCTATACAAATGAACGGAGCGGTGAAAATCTGAGAGGGTGAGAGGTTCTTTAATTAGAGCTAATGATTAAATGAGACCCACTAAAGGTACTAAATTAACCGGACTGCTAGCAAGGAATCGAGAGTGGGAATAAAACTAAAAGCGGAATAAATTGTAAGATAATGAAACAGAAACTGAAAGCTAAAATATATACCGTTCTAGAATGCCTCCGCAAACTATTGCTCCTTTGTAATGTGCACGTGTTAGTAAGTGTAGTAAAAAGATAAAAATAATAAAGCTATACAAATGAACGGAGCGGTGAAAATCTGAGAGGGTGAGAGGTTCTTTAATTAGAGCTAATGATTAAATGAGACCCACTAAAGGTACTAAATTAACCGGACTGCTAGCAAGGAATCGAGAGTGGGAATAAAACTAAAAGCGGAATAAATTGTAAGATAATGAAACAGAAACTGAAAGCTAAAATATATACCGTTCTAGAATGCCTCCGCAAACTATTGCTCCTTTGTAATGTGCACGTGTTAGTAAGTGTAGTAAAAAGATAAAAATAATAAAGCTATACAAATGAACGGAGCGGTGAAAATCTGAGAGGGTGAGAGGTTCTTTAATTAGAGCTAATGATTAAATGAGACCCACTAAAGGTACTAAATTAACCGGACTGCTAGCAAGGAATCGAGAGTGGGAATAAAACTAAAAGCGGAATAAATTGTAAGATAATGAAACAGAAACTGAAAGCTAAAATATATACCGTTCTAGAATGCCTCCGCAAACTATTGCTCCTTTGTAATGTGCACGTGTTAGTAAGTGTAGTAAAAAGATAAAAATAATAAAGCTATACAAATGAACGGAGCGGTGAAAATCTGAGAGGGTGAGAGGTTCTTTAATTAGAGCTAATGATTAAATGAGACCCACTAAAGGTACTAAATTAACCGGACTGCTAGCAAGGAATCGAGAGTGGGAATAAAACTAAAAGCGGAATAAATTGTAAGATAATGAAACAGAAACTGAAAGCTAAAATATATACCGTTCTAGAATGCCTCCGCAAACTATTGCTCCTTTGTAATGTGCACGTGTTAGTAAGTGTAGTAAAAAGATAAAAATAATAAAGCTATACAAATGAACGGAGCGGTGAAAATCTGAGAGGGTGAGAGGTTCTTTAATTAGAGCTAATGATTAAATGAGACCCACTAAAGGTACTAAATTAACCGGACTGCTAGCAAGGAATCGAGAGTGGGAATAAAACTAAAAGCGGAATAAATTGTAAGATAATGAAACCTTAGTTGTAGTGAACGTACGGAACGTTCACTAAAAATAGTTTGTGAACGCGTTTGCTAAAAGATTTTAACGTTCGGAACATAAGGAACGTTAATTGCTATTATGAAATTAAAATGCCTGACATAGCCCAATTATCCGGCAAAGTACTAGTGTTTCCATTGCCAGGCCTTCAGGGCCTTGAGGTATGTTACAAATACAAATGTTGTTTGATCTTGAGCCCCATTTCTGGATAGAAGTCGACTATTTATGCTCAATTCTCGAGCCGATAATAGTCTTGCTTAGATTTTCAGACAATAGTCTTAAGATCCCTGTTGGTTTCATCGGTGTAATTTATTACAAATATTATCTGTTCACCTTAAAGTTAGCTAATTTTGCTTTCCGCAATAGAACCATAAAAGTGATATGGTTAGTCTTTCCAACAAAAGGTGGCTCGAGCTCCATTCCCCCCTACATTCAGTAGGGTTTTGTGTTCACCCAGCTTATCAGGGATATGATCAGCACACGAATCAGGATGTCTGGAAGGAGTTTCTAGATGTCATGGACACGTGGTGTGACGGCGCAACAAAGAAGAAGATACTTTCGCAGCACACGTTCTACCGAGAGAAAAGAGGCGTATTCTCTACTGACGCTGCCTCAAGTTTTAGCCAAGATTCTGATGATCCAGTCTCTTGGTGGAGCAACTTCGGTTGCGAGGTACCCGAACTACAGAGTTTTGCAATGAAAGCGCTGTCGCAATCGACATCAGCCTCACCCTGTGAGACGAATTGGAGCTTGTACGACTGGGTGTTAAACAAAAAAGAAACCGCCTCACAGTTGACAAGCAGCGAGACCTTATTTATGTTAACGCAAGTTTGCGTCTTATGAACAATTCACGAATTAAGGAGCAATAATTTCATTACTATTTGCTATACTAGTGACTTATTTTTATTCATTATTGTTTATTTACTGTCAAATTCAGACAACATGGTTTTATCTCATTGTATCCATCTAAAGTTAAAAACTATCGGAAAAATTATCAAAATATTGACTAACGTTCACTAACGTTCACAAACGTTCACTACAAAATGATTGGAACGTACGTTCAGTACGACTAAGTTCAGCGTTCACTACAACTAAGAATGAAACAGAAACTGAAAGCTAAAATATATACCGTTCTAGAATGCCTCCGCAAACTATTGCTCCTTTGTAATGTGCACGTGTTAGTAAGTGTAGTAAAAAGATAAAAATAATAAAGCTATACAAATGAACGGAGCGGTGAAAATCTGAGAGGGTGAGAGGTTCTTTAATTAGAGCTAATGATTAAATGAGACCCACTAAAGGTACTAAATTAACCGGACTGCTAGCAAGGAATCGAGAGTGGGAATAAAACTAAAAGCGGAATAAATTGTAAGATCTTCGTCAGATGTACTGGAACATCATTTAGAAGGAAGTTATTCAAAGCAAAACAGTTTGCGGATGACCTAACCCAACCTCACACAAGAGGGGCAGACACTGCGGTACCTGTACCATCATATCTCCACATCCATCAGTAACAGTCAATGGACAGCGAGCCAAAGCAGTATCTGGTACATGTGTCAGCTACAATGTTGTATACCTCTTCAGTTGCCAACTTTGTAATATGTGTTATGTAGGAAGAACGGTGCAGCCCCTCAGGGCACGAGTAAACGAACATCGCGCCCATTACTACAAACTCATTTCAGACAATACGTTTGTCCCTGAAGAAAAAGACGACGGATTCAGCTTGGGTAAACACCTTGTAGAAGTTCAAAATATGAAACAACGTGACAATTTCAACCAGGCTTATAAAGTGTCAATTCTCAGTAATAGTAGCCCAAGAACTCTAGAAGTGGATGAACACCGTTATGTTCAGAAACTAAGAACTATACGTCCACTGGGGCTCAATGCCATGGACCCGTTTGGGATCCCATTATTGGATTTATCTTAGAGGCTTTCTATTGCATTGGGGCACAAGAGTTGTGTTTTTTATATTCATATCGTTTTTAGTTGTGTCATTTCATTTCATTTCTTCTCAGGGAGGTCTTCCATCTGACCTCCCTGGGAAGAATCTTGAAGATGAAGTGGTTCTTCCATGTCTCCAATGAAGAAGTTCTCAGGCGTGCTGGAATAAAGTCTATTGAAACTTTCATCGGTTTGGCTAGACTAAGGTGGTACGGACACGTTGTCAGAATGCCAGAGACACGGTTTCCCAATTTTCTACTGGATTGGAAACCAAACTATGGAAAGAGATTGAGAGGACGACCCCGCAAAGGCTGGATGGCCTGTGTACTCGAGGATGCTGCTGACTTTACAGGTGTCGATAACATCAGCAGAGACGCAGTAAAACAGTTAGCTCTAAAACGAGTGGAATGGAGGAACATGATACACCGTAGAAGAGATGTGTGTGATGCAGGCCACTCCAACGACTAGGAGGAGACCTCTTCATGTAGCATGTGTGTAGCATTTCATTTCCATTGTTCTATTTTTTAGGAACTGATATTAACCGAGTTTCTGATTCAGGATGTTACTGAAGATAGTAATGAAAATTTTTAACACCTCAGAACTGTGTATTACTACAGCTCAACCTGTTCAGTCTGACTAATCGGGAATTTAAACTTTTGATAATTATATTTACTTATAAGTTCTCTTCTCCTATTTAATCACAGTGCTGGCAAGCACGACCGCCGCCATTATACAGATTGAGATACTCACCATACTATTTGCCCACCATACTATTATACCCCCTTTACTGTTTTTCCAGGCATTAAGACTCATCGAAAGTCGTTCAGCAGGCATATTTTAAGTTCAAAACATTTTAATTCAATGTCACAGATAAAAGGAATTGTGTGGAGGTTTTTAAGAAATTTGCGCCCAATACGCACAAGCACTGTTATACGAAATTCGGTTAAAAAAAACCAAAATCGCCATATTCAGGTGCCCTAAAAACCATGTTAAAATTGAGTTAGAGATCTGAAATTTTGCAGGGCGTCTAGATGTTGCAGTGAAGTATCTGTATATGTATACCTTTAATGTGTATGTATCTATTTAAGATACAGACCGCTGCCAGTGTTTCTCTTTCCCGAATGATATTTATGATTAATTTGAATGACCGTCCATAAATGCAAAATAATACCGAGAATGAAATGAGGGATTTGTATCTAAGGCGCTGATTTGCAATTTAAATTTAAAACTATGATAACTCCCTCTGATTTCGCAGCTTCTTGAGTTTTAAGGAGCTTGTGTATGAACTGAATCGGCGGGCCTTAAACTTAAAAGTGTTTTCAGTTAGCTCGATATAAGAACACAAATAAAACTCTCGAATTATTGCAATGTTTCCCTTTGAATCACAAAATATTATAAACTTTCTGTCACAGAAAGACTGCTTAATCCACAATAAAAACTTAACTTTAAACAAAACCCTCTTAGTCAACAACTTAAAACTCATCTGAACTAACGTCTATCATTTTAGTGTGTGCAACTGCAAAACCTTTCGGGCCCGCACATTCCTTACTCGGTTAGTTGTTTGTGCTTCCACGCAGCACTATCCGATTAGCAGTCAAAGATACAAATTCATACATCAAATCGGCATTATCTTTATCGTTCTGTTTATATTTAAGTGAATTGTACCTAAGAAGCTAAGAGTATACCCAGTATCAAAATGCTGAAAATTTGGCAAATCGTTCAGCTTAATTTTTATGTTTTTACATTGGGGGCAGTGTGTAAAACTGCTGATAGTTTATTTTATCGTTTGTAATTCCCTCCCAATAACTATAAGATTAATGTAGTTCCAAGACTAAGAGGAACTAACTCCATTGTAAACTTATAAACGAATAAATAGTAGACTATGCCATTAGATTTTTACGTCCCATTGTCGCTGTACTGGCAGGAAATATGAGAGGGAGAAGGAAACGTTGTAGAGTAGGTAGGTGAGATAGTAGGAGCAGGTGTGACAACAGATTCACCAGGTGAGAAGGTGAGAGGAGCTGCAAGGTGAGCATGTGTAACAACAGATTCACCAGGTGAGAAGGTGAGAGGAGCTGCAAGGTGAGCAGGTGTAACAACAGATTCACCAGGTGAGAAGGTGAGAGGAGCTGCAAGGTGAGCAGGTGTGACAACAGATGGACCAGGTGAGAAGGTGAGAGGAGCTGCAAGGTGAGCAGGTGTGACAACAGATTCACCAGGTGAGAAGGTGAGAGGAGCTGCAAGGTGAGCAGGTGTGACAACAGATGGACCAGGTGAGAAGGTGAGAGGAGCTGCAAGGTGAGCAGGTGTGACAACAGATTCACCAGGTGAGAAGGTGAGAGGAGCTGCAAGGTGAGCAGGTGTGACAACAGATGGACCAGGTGAGAAGGTGAGAGGAGCTGCAAGGTGAGCAGGTGTGACAACAGATTCACCAGGTGAGATGGTGAGAGGAGCTGCAAGGTGAGCATGTGTGACAACAGATTCACCAGGTGAGATGGTGAGAGGAGCTGTTGGTTGATAATTGGGGAAGGAACTGGGAGGTAAGCTGGAACTGGAAAGAAAGGGGTCATCGAAGTACAGAGGCTTTACAAATGTGAGAGGCTTCACGAAAGGTAGAGGCTTAACAAAAATGGGTCCTCCAACGCTACTGTTTTGGAAGTAATTCGAAGCCTGACTCAGACTGCTTTCGTGAGAATGATGTGATTTCTCTTCGATATCGTTCCGCTGATACGGTTTTTCGCCTGTATGAGTCATTTGATGGTAAACCAGTGTTGATCTGTGGCTTGCACTGTAGGAACATTCAGAGCATTTTAACGGTTTTTCACCAGTATGAGTTTGCTGATGTTTAACCAGGTCTGATTTTTGGCTTGAACTGTAGGAACATTCAGAGCATTTATACGGTTTTTCGCCGGTATGATTCATCTGATGGCGAACTAAGTTTTGTTTTACGCTTGCACTGTAGGAACAATCAGAGCATTTAAACGGTTTTTCACCGGTATGGGTCCGCTGATGGCAAACCAGGCTTGATTTTTGGCTTGGACTGTAGGAACATTCAGAGCATTTATACGGTTTTTTGCCAGTATGAGTCCTTTGATGTTTAACCAGGTCTGATTTGTGGCTTGCACTGAAGGAACAATCAGAGCATTTATACGGTTTTTCACCGGTATGGGTCCGCTGATGTTTAACCAGGTCTGATTTTTGGCTTGCACTGTAGGAACATTCAAAGCATTTATACGGTTTTTCGCCTGTATGAGTCCTTTGATGTTTAACTAAGTTTGATTTGTGGCTTGCACTGTAGGAACAATCAGAGCATTTATACGGTTTTTCAGCGATATGAGTCCACTGATGTTTAACCAGGTCTGATTTTTGGCTTGCACTGTAGGAACATTCAGAGCATTTATACGGTTTTTTGCCAGTATGAGTCATTTGATGTTTAACTAAGTTTGATTTTCGGCTTGCACTGAAGGAACAATCAGAGCATTTATACGGTTTTTCGCCGGTATGAGTCCGCTGATGTTGAACCAGGTCTGATTTTTGGCTTGCACTGTAGGAACATTCAGAGCATTTATACGGTTTTTTGCCAGTATGAGTCATTTGATGTTTAACTAAGTTTGATTTTCGGCTTGCACTGAAGGAACAATCAGAGCATTTATACGGTTTTTCGCCGGTATGAGTCCGCTGATGTTGAACCAGTGTTGATTTTTGGCTTGCACTGTAGGAACATTCAGAGCATTTATACAGTTTTTCGCCGGTATGAATCATCTGATGGCGAACTAAGTTTCGTTTTACGCTTGCAGTGTAGGAACATTCAGAGCATTTAAACGGTTTTTCACCGGTATGGGTCCGCTGATGGCAAACCAGGCTTGATTTTTGGCTTGCACTGTAGGAACAATCAGAGCATTTATACGGTTTTTCGCCGGTATGAGTCCGCTGATGTTGAACCAGTGTTGATTTTTGGCTTGCACTGTAGGAACATTCAGAGCATTTATACAGTTTTTCGCCGGTATGAATCATCTGATGGCGAACTAAGTTTCGTTTTACGCTTGCAGTGTAGGAACATTCAGAGCATTGGTACGGTTTTTCACCGGTATGAGTCCGCTGATGTATAATTAAGTTTGATTTGTGGCTTGCACTGAAGGAACATTCAGAGCATTTATACGGTTTTTCACCGGTATGAGTCCGCTGATGTATAATTAAGTTTGATTTGTGGCTTCCACTGAAGGAACATTCAGAGCATTTATACGGTTTTTCACCGGTATGAGTCCGCTGATGTTGAACCAGGTCTGATTTGTTGCTTGCACTGAAGGAACAATCAGAACATTTGAAAGGTTTTATGCCGGTATGAACGCTTTGATGGGAACCTAAAGACGTTTTTCTGCAAGTACTATAGAAACATTCAGAGCGAATGTAAGCATTTTCACTTGTATAAACCAATTGGTGTGGAACTAATGCTGATTCCTGATTGGGACAATACAACTGAGAAACACCATTCAAATACACTTCTGATTTAATAGATAAGTTATCTTCCTCCTTCTTAACCTCTGTCTTGATCAATTCTGGTGGAAAACTTTCTTCTTCCATCTTCATCTCATCTTTAAAGTCCGGGACATTTTTCTGCTCCATTCACTGAAACGACCTTACTAAAGTTGCCTTTGAACAATCGTCACTAGAAAACAAAATGAATATAAGTTCGAGATATCTCCTCTCCAAAACTAAATTCCAGTGTTAATTTAGTTACATTAGGAGGAAACAAGTAGTAACCCAGAAAATAGAAAATAAGCGAAGTAGGTTACCAAATTGGATACAAGTCTGACTAAAGCATAAAGCAGCGCAGTGACCAGTGCAGACATTGACACCACGGAGGTATTGCTGATAAGGCAGCTCATGTTACCAAGGTAACACATATTCTCATTTTGTGTCATGTTACCTTACCACGATGAATGATGATGATCATGTGCCTCCATTCCACTCGTTTTAAAGCTAACTGTTTTACTGCATCTCTGCTGATGTTATCGACACCTGTAAAGTCAGCCGCATCCTCAAGTACACAGGCCATCCAGCCTTTGCGGGGTCGTCCTCTCAGTCTCTTTCCATAGTTTCAGAAGCATATTATCGAGTGCAGCCTTGTAACGCATCACGCTACAAACTAATTACTTACCGCGGATCGACCGAAATATAACTTACTTTAGGTTGGTTTGGCAGGGATTGCTTCTGGACAACAGTAACTAGTACGTCCTCCATTCATTCCTGGTTCAGATCTTTCTGTAGATTCCATTCTAGGAGTGAGTTGTTGGTGATGGTGGTGTATCCTTTGGTTGGCGGGGTATCGGGAAACGTCTCCAAAAATCGAGCAAGTGATACCTTGAAGGGTCCTAGAGCAGTTAAACTGTTCACTTGTCGTGGGAGGAGGTTCCATAGTCTCGCTGCATTCACTCCAAAGGTATCGACCCGAAAGCAACCCAAAGAGATTTTTACAGCATGTGATTAATGTAATCAATTGAAACTTATTACAATTCGTAAGCCGTGAACGGGTTGAAAAAGTCACGTGACAGTCGAGTGTAGAGTGATTCATCATCAATCATCATCCCATCAACAAAAAACAATGGACAATTCATTCATATCTTTGATCTTATGGGTTTACCTGGCTCGCCAATCTCTGTGCGCGGCGCTCTTTTCAAGCTTCCTGAACGTGAGAGGAGCGAGCTAGGCCGGTAACTTACGAGTTTAAACTTGTATTTGGTTTTACAAAGTTGTTATTCAAATTAAATGTTGTTACCGCCCTTAAAATATGTGTTAAAAACAAATGATAGTTTGTCTTTATTTTTAAGACTTCGTAATAGCAAAATATCGGTATGCATATAGTAGTACAAATACAACATCAAACATATGATTTTTTAAATATAGCACTTACTTCCGTCAGTTAAAAGTCCAGATAAAAGTTTATCAATATCTGTCTTATATTAATACTATTGTGTATTAGATTTAAATTTGCACAGCCAGAAGACTTTAAGTTTATGTTGGGAAACTGAAATTATCGTTATAAATTTAGCTTTATGGATTGATAACTTAACAATTAATTTACTAAGTAGACGAGTATTTATGAAGGCTACAAATACAAATGAAAAGAAAAAATCCAAAATCAGTGCTGGACTGTGGTTGATTATTAAAACTAAAAGGAATAATTCATAATTGAGCCTTAACTCCGTATCAAAATTGTTAAATGTTATAAACTATAAACCGAAACGTGAGCAGATAGTCAATTTCAACTTCTCTTACCCGTTTAAGTTCAACAACTCATGGCTTATCACACTGGCTAATATGAAACAATATCTTTGTCAAAATATACTGCAAAGATACGTTTGATGTTCTGCAATTACGACTCTGGACTCAGACCAAGTCTATTTGGTAAGTAAGGTAGCATTTGGTAAGTAAGGTAGCATTTGGTAATTAAGGTAGCATTTGGTAAGTAAGGTAGCATTTGGTAACTAAGGTAGCATTTGGTAACTAAGGTAGCATTTGGTAACTAAGGTAGCATTTGGTAAGTAAGGTAGCATTTGGCCCGCTCATCATCATGTTCAATTAGTCTCGGTGTTATTTAATATTCAGAACTATACGGATGATTTCTCTGCGCCAAAAGAGAACAGTTGGACAAGATCTGTAAGTGTAGAAACATATGTGTAGGTTGTGTAAATAATTAATACATTAATTAATTAATTACTTAGGCCCTCATGTCTGTATCAGTTGTGTTTCGGGTCAACTTTTTGTTTATCTGGGGATTCGCCGCTTTTGACCTCCTGAAGCTTTGCATGGAGTTGATCAAATTGTTCTTGCTCACAGAGTTAATGTAAATAACCGCAATAAAGGCGACCACACCCAATGCAGCCATCACGAAACCTGCGTATTTGAACGCCTCCGACTTGCTGGCATTGTCGGAGAACGTTCTGTAACCGAGACCAAGAAGACGATAGCGAGGACGAAGGCTGCTACACAGCAGACCTGACAGTAGGGCATCATCCAGACGTAGCCTGGCTCTTTGGAGGTGTGTTTAACGGGCTTTACTGAGCGGGCTTTTTCGAACTTCCAATGTTTATCAGGTCCTTCACCTTGGGGGAGAAGTGGTGAGAAGTTGAATACTTTATTATTGGACGTTATTTGACCGGACATTTTGTGAACGCTCAAAGGCATTAATTTAGTATATTTAATTTAACTACCTTGTCAGACTTTATTTGAACGGACATTAAAATGAACGCTAGGGCCTCCAGCGTCCAATTAATGTCCGTTCAAATTAAGTCCGATAAGGAAATTTAGTTAACAAATAGAGATTCATTTGTCTTGCAGGTAATCGAGAATTAAGGAAGGAAATAATTGTTCACTTAAGTTGGAAAATGATAGTTCTTGCAAAATTTTAATATCCGTCAAACTAACTGAGGGATTTGTCCGAAACTAAAAATTAAACTCAGACGAATACCGAATGGAGTTAAAAACATATAAGTGATACGATAGTTTAACTTGTAGAAGCTTTCAATAACATGTGTTAATCGTCGTCAGCTGAAGGTGATGTGGTGGAAAATGCTTATATGTGATGGAGTGGTGTCAAGGATGGAGGGTGGGGGTGTTGTGGTTGGGAAAGTCAAAAGTCAGACGAATACATTGAAGGGTAGACCTACATCGACCCTTAGATCGTTGGAGTTTATGGAAATCTCATCATCGTCCACTGTTAGATGTACGTGCTTTTTACCATCACCGTTCATTGCCACGTGTTCTTCTGGGGGGAAATGGGAATGTTAAACCTGAATAGAATATTTTAATAATAATGGGAATTTTAAACATTTGGTTTCTGCCTATACTGAATTTATGAGGCAGCGTGAATTGAATCCACGCGGGATTATAACTGCAAGATTATCCATCATTATAATCAGTTCCCGCTTAAAAAGGTCTCGCAAAAGAAATGAAAACTAACCTGTCATGATTCGTTATACAGATAAGTTGTTACCATTACCTATAAAATAGGAAAATTAAAATAAGTGTTAACCATTACCTATAAAATAGCAAAATTAAAATAAGTGTTAACCATTACCTTACAAGACTTTTTCATAACGTACGAAATGCGACGGTTTTCCCGAAATTTCGCCATATTTTCGGACCGCCAAAATTTCGGTCGTCATAATAGAATCCGTCGCATTATTTTTAGCTTATTCCAATAATTGTGGCTTCATCGATTCATTTTGTTCTTGAAAAGTTAGTGATATGATGGTGGGACAAATAAACACAATATTCCATGATGAATTTAATGTCAAGTAATACGTTTTAAATTTACAATAAATTACATTTATGTGCTAACATAAACGTCTTATAAGAGACTAAGTCAAGATAAACAATTTAATACCAAACTCAATAAGTGAAACTGAAAGAGTCGAGCCGGACCCGTTAGAGGAAGATGAAGAAATCGATTTATAAGTTTCATTTTGTTTCAACATGATTTTACCGATTTTTAGAAAATTTTGAATTTCCTTTGTGTCAGAAAACAAAATGATGAAAAATACCCTTATTTTCTGTGACGTCCGAAATGTGACGGTTTTTGTTCAATTTCGCCATATTTTCGGACCGCCAAAATTTCGGTCGTCGCAAATTGGTCCGCCACAAAAATGTCTTGTAAGGTACCTATAAAATAGCAAAATTAAAATAAGTGTTAACCATTACCTATAAAATAGCAAAATTATAATAAGTGTTAATCATTACCTATTATAAGATGACAGAAAAATACATATTAAGTTACTAATACTTATTATTATATAATAGAAAAATACGAATTCAATCAAAGGAGCAATATAAATCTTTGAATATTTTCATATTTTACAAAGTTGAGCGAGAAAGCTCGAAGCTTATTGCTAATGTCTAAAATTGGAGTCCCAACTTATTGTGATCATTAAGCTGACTTAGTCTGACGTTAGTCTCTATTCTCAGTCTACAATATCAGATACAAATCATAATTATTCAATTATTTTCAAGGTTTCATTGAGCTGACTATACTAATTTATTACAACACGTTCGACCGCCGAATTACGTTTTACAGAACTCCGATTGAGGTGTGGAAAATGCAATAAGTTAGGCTGGGGTCTGATCGTCACATTTGACAAACGTGCATCACTGTCACCATAGTTACACTACTAGTTACCATAGTTACTACAAACGTGCATCACTGCGGACGGTGGAATATAACAAAATAAAACAATGTGAATGTACATCGCAGGATCGAAGCGAAATTATGCCATTTACCTTGCATATTGTTCGAAATAAACTTTGTCTTCACTATTACAAAAGTAATAATATTATAAAAGATAGTAGAAGTTACAGGGGAGCTGACAAGTAGCACAAAGTACAGGCCCGGAGCTCGTGAAAGCGTGTACAACTCACACAGTCACAACATCAACAACATATGTGTTGTTAATTATAATGTGATTGGGTCTAGCCTTCACAATGCTAACCGCTCAGCTCACTGTTTCTCCCTAGCCTTCACAATGCTAACCGCTCAGCTCACTGTTTCTCCCTAGCCTTCACAATGCTAACCGCTCAGCTCACTGTTTCTACCTAGCCTTCACAATGCTAACCGCTCAGCTCACTGTTTCTCCCTAGCCTTCACAATGCTAACCGCTCAGCTCACTGTTTCTCCCTAGCCTTCACAATGCTAACCGCTCAGCTCACTGTTTCTCCCTAGCCTTCACAATGCTAACCGCTCAGCTCACTGTTTCTCCCTAGCCTTCACAATGCTAACCGCTCAGCTCACTGTTTCTCCCTAGCCTTCACAATGCTAACCGCTCAGCTCACTGTTTCTCCCTAGCCTTCACAATGCTAACCGCTCAGCTCACTGTTTCTCCCTAGCCTTCACAATGCTAACCGCTCAGCTCACTGTTTCTCCCTAGCCTTCACAATGCTAACCGCTCAGCTCACTGTTTCTCCCTAGCCTTCACAATGCTAACCGCTCAGCTCACTGTTTCTCCCTAGCCTCCACAATGCTAACCGCTCAGCTCACTGTTTCTCCCTAGCCTTCACAATGCTAACCGCTCAGCTCACTGTTTCTCCCTAGCCTTCACAATGCTAACCGCTCAGCTCACTGTTTCTCCCTAGCCTTCACAATGCTAACCGCTCAGCTCACTGTTTCTCCCTAGCCTTCACAATGCTAACCGCTCAGCTCACTGTTTCTCCCTAGCCTTCACAATGCTAACCGCTCAGCTCACTGTTTCTACCTAGCCTTCACAATGCTAACCGCTCAGCTCACTGTTTCTCCCTAGCCTTCACAATGCTAACCGCTCAGCTCACTGTTTCTCCCTAGCCTTCACAATGCTAACCGCTCAGCTCACTGTTTCTCCCTAGCCTCCACAATGCTAACCGCTCAGCTCACTGTTTCTCCCTAGCCTTCACAATGCTAACCGCTCAGCTCACTGTTTCTCCCTAGCCTTCACAATGCTAACCGCTCAGCTCACTGTTTCTCCCCAGCCTTCACAATGCTAACCCGCTCAGCTCACTGTTTCTCCCTAGCCTTCACAATGCTAACCGCTCAGCTCACTGTTTCTACCTAGCCTTCACAATGCTAACCGCTCAGCTCACTGTTTCTCCCTAGCCTTCACAATGCTAACCCGCTCAGCTCACTGTTTCTCCCTAGCCTTCACAATGCTAACCGCTCAGCTCACTGTTTCTCCCTAGCCTTCACAATGCTAACCGCTCAGCTCACTGTTTCTCCCTAGCCTTCACAATGCTAACCGCTCAGCTCACTGTTTCTCCCTAGCCTTCACAATGCTAACCCGCTCAGCTCACTGTTTCTCCCTAGCCTTCACAATGCTAACCGCTCAGCTCACTGTTTCTCCCTAGCCTTCACAATGCTAACCGCTCAGCTCACTGTTTCTACCTAGCCTTCACAATGCTAACCGCTCAGCTCACTGTTTCTCCCTAGCCTTCACAATGCTAACCCGCTCAGCTCACTGTTTCTCCCTAGCCTTCACAATGCTAACCGCTCAGCTCACTGTTTCTCCCTAGCCTTCACAATGCTAACCGCTCAGCTCACTGTTTCTCCCTAGCCTTCACAATGCTAACCGCTCAGCTCACTGTTTCTCCCTAGCCTTCACAATGCTAACCGCTCAGCTAACTGTTTCTCCCTAGCCTTCACAATGCTAACCGCTCAGCTCACTGTTTCTCCCTAGCCTTCACAATGCTAACCGCTCAGCTCACTGTTTCTCCCTAGCCTTCACAATGCTAACCGCTCAGCTCACTGTTTCTCCCTAGCCTTCACAATGCTAACCGCTCAGCTCACTGTTTCTCCCTAGCCTTCACAATGCTAACCGCTCAGCTCACTGTTTCTCCCTAGCCTTCACAATGCTAACCCGCTCAGCTCACTGTTTCTCCCTAGCCTTCACAATGCTAACCGCTCAGCTCACTGTTTCTCCCTAGCCTTCACAATGCTAACCGCTCAGCTCACTCTTTCTCCCTAGCCTTCACAATGCTAACCGCTCAGCTCACTGTTTCTCCCTATAAGGTTTGTAAAACATAGTTCACCGTGCCTAATGGACCAAACGCTAAAGTTCTCACTTTTTACTATCCGAATGATCGCTAAAAAGCATTCGCCGTTTTAAGCAAGATTCTGGACGGCCAATTAGACTCGACCTACTCACAGCACTAGAAACAGCACTAGAAACAGCGCTACACAACCGCCAGTTACAATGTTCTGATCAGTCGCATAATATAACTGACTAAACACAAATAGCAGACACTCAGGCATGTAACCATGGTTACTAAGCAGGTTACCATGGTTACCGGGTTACCTGGCAACAAGGTAACAAGGGTTAGTTGCTCTATTATGATTAATTACCTTGTTTCAGTGACTGGACTGTTAATACACAGCAATACTTTAGTGCACAAAGAGGAAGCTGGGTGGGGTTTAAGAGCTAACGGTCTGGGAAGTAGTAACTATGGTAACTAGTAGTGTAACTATGGTGATAAGAAGAAGATAAGAGGAAGATAAGAGGGAACACTCTCTTAATGGTTCAGTTGGAGACAGGCTCTAACTTGGTTACTGGTTAGCGTTAGGGTCTGGTGTGGTTCAAGTTCTGGTCACGGTGGAGACAGGCTCTAACTTGGTTACTGGTTAGCGTTAGGGTCTGGTGTGGTTCAAGTTCTGGTCACGGTGGAGACAGGCTCTAACTTGGTTACTGGTTAGCGTTAGGGTCTGGTGTGGTTCAAGTTCTGGTCACGGTGGAGTCAGGCTCTAACTTGGTTACTGGTTAGCGTTAGGGTCTGGTGTGGTTCAAGTTCTGGTCACGGTGGAGACAGGCTCTAACTTGGTTACTGGTTAGCGTTAGGGTCTGGTGTGGTTCAAGTTCTGGTAACGGTGGAGACAGGCTCTAACTTGGTTACTGGTTAGCGTTAGGGTCTGGTGTGGTTCAAGTTCTGGTAACGGTGGAGACAGGCTCTAACTTGGTTACTGGTTAGCGTTAGAGTCTGGTGTGGTTCAAGTTCTGGTCACGGTGGAGACAGGCTCTAACTTGGTTACTGGTTAGCGTTAGGGTCTGGTCTGGTTCAAGTTCTGGTAACGGTGGAGACAGGCTCTAACTTGGTTACTGGTTAGCGTTAGGGTCTGGTGTGGTTCAAGTTCTGGTCACGGTGGAGACAGGCTCTAACTTGGTCACTGGTTAGCGTTAGAGTCTGGTGTGGTTCAAGTTCTGGTCACGGTGGAGACAGGCTCTAACTTGGTTACTGGTTAGCGTTAGGGTCTGGTGTGGTTCAAGTTCTGGTAACGGTGGAGACAGGCTCTAACTTGGTTACTGGTTAGCGTTAGGGTCTGGTGTGGTTCAAGTTCTGGTAACGGTGGAGACAGGCTCTAACTTGGTTACTGGTTAGCGTTAGGGTCTGGTGTGGTTCAAGTTCTGGTAACGGTGGAGACAGGCTCTAACTTGGTTACTGGTTAGCGTTAGAGTCTGGTGTGGTTCAAGTTCTGGTAACGGTGGAGACAG